AGGCGCTGTGCCACTGAGCTAAATCCCCAGCCCCGGAAGGAATTATTTTTAAGAAAGCCTTAAAAATTCTGTCTCTCTGGGGAGCAGAAAGGAAAGAGTTGCGAAAATGCAAAATTTTGAATAATGAATAAGGGTTTTTTTTTGCACAAGGAAATGGAATAAGGACACTGTGGTTTGTCTCAAGATGGTAAATAAAGGGCGTGGTGGCGCACACCGGCAATCCCAGCACTGGAGAGGCTGAGGCAGGAGAATTGCTGCAAGTTCAAGACCAGCCTGGGCTACAAAGTCGGCTCAGCCTGAAATGCGTAGCGAGACCCTGTCTCAAAACGACAGAAGAAAAAAAAAGAAAAAAAAAAAATCAAAGATGGTAAATACCAACATTCAGTGCGAAAATACGCAAAGGACGTTAGACTCCCACGTGCAGGCCACCAGCACCAGAACCCTGAGTGGATTCGGGGGCACGGCCAGAACGACTGTGGAGGCGCCTCACCGCGCCGCTGGCATTCCTCCTGTGCCCGTGAGGGTACAACAGCGAGCCCTGACACTCCTGGTCGTCACTTCCTCCAGCCCCAGCCAGAGAAGGAGGCGGGAAACTATAGTTGTGGGGTCTCTCGCTGGAGCATTCTGACGAGTAGCACAGCCCCGCGGGCCTCAGGATGGCGAGGAGCACGTGCGCAGCGCCTGCCCTGGGTCTCGCGCAGGGGGCCTCGGCCAGGTCGGGGCCTCGGCCCTGCTCTTAGCAGTCGGCGGCTTTAGCGATTTATCCCAGCACTAAAGAAAATTGCAGAAAAAAAAAAGAAAATTGCAGAGCTAGCCATACAAACGATCCAAAATACCAGAACATATATTTCAATTTACTATCTCGTACCCAATTAAATAAAAGTGGGAACTGTGGTGCTGTAAGTCTTGTCTCACCCTTCCTCTCATAGTTTTTTATTTTATTCTGCTGTTCATGGCATTACACTCTTGGGTAATTCCTCTTTTTATTTTATTTATTTATTTATTTATATATTGTCTTTTTGAGACAGGGTCTCGCTATGTAGCCCAGGCTGGGCTGGCCTCGAACTTGCAATGATCCTCCTGCCTCAGCCTCCCGGGTGCTGGGATTACAGGCATGCGCCACCACGCCAGGCTGTGTATATTCATTCTCATTTATTCTATTCTCCTAATAGTACCTGATGGCAAGCTATACTAAATAAGATAATCTTTTAGAGGGAATTTCTGAAAAGTATCTTGAAATAAGGGGGGAAAAAATGTTCTAGACCCTCAAGAAGCATCTTCTCGTCCTCAGGATAAAATTTCTCCCTAGTTTGGCGAAGGCTTGGTCGGTGCCTCCCTCACAGCCTCCTGTCCTCCAGCCCCCACTGGCCCCATCTTACCCAGCTCCCTGGACAGCTGGCTGCTCCCCGGGAGATCTGTCTCAGTTTACCGTTCTCCATGTATGTTTTCTTTTTCTCGAACATTTTGACCCTAGCAAGCTTATCTCACCAAGTACAGTTTAACCATAACTCTTCATTTAAAGATGGCGTTTATCACTGTGAGCCGCTGCGTTTCATCTCCAAACATGCAGCATTACCTTCCTTTTCCGGGGCGCCGCAGCCGTGATTCCGCAGCAGCCTCTCCGTGGGTCCTGAGCTCGCTGTGTCTGCACGCGATCCGGACTGTGATGACACGACCTGGAGGAGCCACTCACATTTCTCGGGGCTTCCATTTCTTTCTGCAAAACGGGGTTCTCAGAGAGAGGCTCCCCCGGTCTCGCTCCAGTTTCAGGGATGCTCGTTTGGCTTCAAGTCACAGTTTTCCTTCTTTTTTTTTTTTTTTTTTTTTTGGAGACAGCATCTCACTGTGTGGCTGAGACTGGCCTTGAGCTCACTGTGCAGCCCAGGCTGATCTCAAACTCGCAACGATCCTCCTGCCTCAGCCTCCCGAGCACTGGGATCACAGGCATGCATCACCATGCGCAGTTCAGGTTTCTGATTTCTTACGGCATTCAAATGCAAAAAGGTAATAAAAAGTTAACTGTTAGAGTAATTTACTTTCCCTCAGTACATGGTCGCTAAATAAACGTCCGTGTCCCTCATGAATGCCATCCTTCTGGCGGGTGAATGTACGGGATTGGACTCAGGGCCTTCTCCCTGAGCAGCCTGGATGTTTCTGAAACAGGGTCTTGCTGAGCTGCTGCGTTACCCAGGCTGATCTCAAACACGCGTCCTTCCTGCCTCAGCCTGCAGAGTGCTGGGATGACAGGTGTGTGGTACCACGCTGGGCCAAATTCTTTTCTCATTCTTCACACCGCTGCGCAGCGCTCGCTGACACCGCCGGGCCGTCATGTATGCGTTGACTGGCCTTATGATCGCTGTAGACGGTGGAGGCGGAACAGCGTCGGAGGTTGCGAGCTTCGCGCGGGTTTCAGCGTTCCTTCTGTGCGTTCAGCCCCGTCCCCGGCGTAAATCGGTCCGCGGAGAGCGCGGCCATGCGTACACTCTCGAGGAGGCGGTGACGACATGTTTTCCTTTGAACGTACGAGTCCCGCGGAAGCCGCAGCCCCGAGCGAGGGAGCGCGCAGCGCGAGCCGCGGCCGGCGTGGGGGACACGGGTGGAGTCGCTGCAGTGGAGGCTTAGCGCGGGCAGGAGACGCCCGCGGGCACCGGGAATCGCGCGGCAGGACGAGCCCGGAGCCGAGCGGCCGCGGAGGCCGA